GGTCTCCCAACTCCCAGTTAAATTCTTCAGCCAAAAGACCAACGAATCATTTATTGTTTTTAAATTAAATCAAATCATTATTTTACCTAGCCTCTTTAACCTAGACAACTTTTTGCCCCTTTGAGTGATTCTGAATTATAATGCTACTTTCTAGATTCTTCTGCATCGTGAGAGGGCCATCTTTTGCCAGACTTTGGTTTTTGCATTACATACTAATACCTCTTTGTTATGTCTAGGTTTGTGAGGCAGCCTATCGCAAGGATAATGAAAAATTCAATAAAGATTTTTTTTAAGGCATCAAGAAATTAAATAAATTTGAAAGAAACCTACAAACCCTTTGTAATTAACTCCAACCTAGCTTTCAGAAGGGGATAAGCAATCAAAATAAGAAGTAACTGAGGATAATAAGGAAGAGTAAAAAGATAAAGGAAAATTCTGGTATACAAATTAAGAGGAGAATGGAAGATGCAAGCAACTCCTGCGCCTCTGTATGGCAATATAATCAGCTGTCTTATTTACTGTCAGAGAGTCAGATGCCATCGGAGGTATAAAACATCTCATTTGTTTTCATAAATTACAGTATACTGTGGGCAACCTCAAATAAAGACTTGTTACCAGGGGATACTGTTTATGTGCCAAGACTGGCACACCATCAAGTGCAGAGAGATGGGGAAGCAGAGGAAGCAATCTTGGGACCATCCCAAGAAATGACTACACAGGAACTGAGTGAAAGGAAAAGCTATAGCATGCCAACTCAGGACTGGGGAAGCGTAAGAACCCAGAATTCTACTGAGGTTGGTGCATCTTTCAGTGTTGAGAATTCAAATGGTTTTATCAACCTCAGAAATCTGTGGATACTGCTATGTTTATACAATCATATTATAAAAAAATCCACAACAAAACACTCCAAAACAAAATACTGCCCTAAATGAAAATTAAATGAGCATCCTGATAGTTCTTAATATCTGCCATTTCTCAGCAGAGAGGAAGGTATGAACCCTATCCAGTTGCAGACAACTCAGTCTAGCACACAAGTTCTGCTTCCCCCAGGCAAAGTGGGAACAAAGCAGTGTGCAGCTTGTGAAGTTCCGTGGCATCCAGACATCAAGTAACACACAGCACTTGTATAGTCTCTCTACCTCGGCTCCCAATCGATTCCAATCCCAAACAGAGCCACAAGACTCACTTTGCTCCTGCTGCAACAGCAGTGCCGAACTCTAATTAGCACATAGCAGCTTATTTAGAATAACTGCAGCTCCAAACAGCAAATAGCTTACACATAGCAGCTGTTCACGTGCAAGAGGAGAGAATATGCTCTCTCTGAAAAAACTTGGACCTCTATTCAGCAGCCTCCAGGATTTCTCACAGTTGCATCTTGCTCCTGCTCCAGGCACAAGAGAACAGCTATACTTACTACAGCAACTATAAGTTTTAAGAATGAAAAAAATATCCAGTTAGCCTCTTTGTGGCAGCTCGCATCTCAGTGAAATATAGTAGAAACCCAGGTCAGCCTCTTTCTGGTAATTGTACTCCCATTACAGCAGCCTCCAGCAACCGAGCTTCAAGATTTTTAGAACTGCATTTGTTCCGTGCTGCAAGGTACAAGACAACAGCTAGTGTACACTCTTGCTGTTGCAGCTCCAAGCTTCAACTAGTTTCTCTACAGCAGGTCCACTCAACAAACCAGTCCAACTCTACAGCCCTAGGTAATGGTTTCTTAGAGCTATTGCTATCATTTAAAAACATAGACAAAAATAAAAAAATCCCAAAATTGCCTCAGGGTTGGACCAGTTACCAGACACTGCAAAAAAATAGAGAAGGGCTCATAGACCCTTGATCCAATTTTTTCCAAAGAAAAAGTTCTGCTATTATCCTTTCCCCCATCACTAACTCTCCTCTTCTAATCCCTCAATGTGCACCCTTTTCACAACCATATTTTGCTGCTGACCTCCCTTGCTTCTGTTCTCAACCTCTCACTCTCTTGGGATTGTTCTCTTCAAAATTCAAGCATCAGTAAGCTGGTTATTTCCTTTCTCAACTGTCATCTTCCTTCTTCCCCTCAGATCTAAGCCTAAGTATGCAATCTACAACTGCTACCTCAAGTTCCTTTTTGGTTTTTGCCTTCCACTCCATTGAAACTGCTTTTCAATGGAGATTTTATCTGTTCCTTGCTATATCTTGAGGCCTTCAGCTCATCAACCTCTTTACTGCTTTTGACTCAGTTGATCTCCATCTCAACACCTGACCATCTTTCAGCATCTTCTCCTTCTTTAACTTTTGTGATACTGTCCTTTCTTGGTGGTTCTTCTATGTCTCTGGCCTTCCAACAATGTCTCCTTTTGCAGGTTCTCTTCCTGCTATGTTTTGCTTTCTGTGGGAGTCCAACAGGGCTCTACCGTTGGCCCCTCCTTTTATCCCTTTATTGGATGGTTACATCTGCTCATGTGACGTCAACGGCCATTTTTAAACTGATGACTCACAAATTAATCTTTCCACTCCCTATTTGTCTCCCACTATCTAATCCCATATCTCATGTTGTCTCTCAGATGTCCCTTCCTGAATGTCTATCAACTAAAATTAAACATGGTCAAAATTGAACTCCTGGTCTTTCCTCCCCAAACCTCCGGACTTGCTTATTCACTTTTGCTATTGAACACACTATCACCCTCCCTGCCATTCCAGTAACCAGCATGAGCGCCAACTCCTCCACCTCCCTTGCACTTCACATTCAAGCCATACCTGGAGTCTTCCCTCTTCTTTCTCCACATTTTTAAGATCTGACCTTTTCTTTCTGGACATAGAGCCAGAGCTCTTATTCAGTCCTTTTTATCTCTGGTATTTACTGTAGCCTCCTCTGACCTCCTTAATATGCATACTTCCCCCCACCCCAAGCTAATACAACACACAGCTGCTAAAATCCTCTTCTTTGACCTTCACTGGGACCATGTTACCTCTCCCCCCTTTCATTGGTTTGTTCTTCTCCTCCACATCAAGTTCCAGGTTCTTATCTTTGCCTTCATAGCCCTGTGTAACTCTGCACCTCTCATTATCCACACTTCCTCTTGCCTTGTTCCTTCCCCCCTACTCCAACACTTATGCTAGCCATGATATCCTGTTTCTCTGCTTTCCAGTAACTCTCTCCTTTACTTTCTTCCATGTCATCTTCTACAAAGATGTATCCATTCTATGATAATCCATAAGGTCAATGCCCTTATTCATTTCCTTCATTAAGTTCCACTTTTACTGCAACACCTAGAAGAAATTAGACAACTAATCAATGGCTAAATAGACAGACACATGGGGATAGGGGGAGGGATAGCTCAGTGGTTTGAGCATTGGCCTGCTAAACCCAGGGTTGTGAGCTCAATCCTTGAGGGGGCCATTTAAGGATATGAAGCAAAAATCTGTTGGATGATTTAATTGGGGATTGGTCCTTCTTTGAGCAGGGGATTGGACTAGACGATCTCCTGAGGTCCCTTCCAACCCTGAAGTTCTATGATTAGGTTTGGATACATAATCTTTTTTTTAAAAAATCATGCAAACATCAAGATGTGAGCCATTCATCACCTCAGCCACTTTGCTTTTGTGCTGAACCCCTTTCCCACACACTTTATCAGTTGGTCTTTTGAGACCATTAGCACATTGGGGCAGGGACTTCTGATGGGTCTGTAGAATCCCACGTACATTTTGGGTGCTATATTTATATAAAAATAATAAACAACTCAAAGAGATCTATTACTTTTTGTTTTTCTTTTAAATGGAACTTCAAAAAAAAATCTCTGTTTAAAAAACAACCTAAACCCACAAAAGTTAACATTTCATTGCTAGTCACTTAAACTGTCAAGAAAGGGGTGGATGTCAAGTAATTTTTCCTATTTTTAAATTTATTATAAACCTAAAAATTATATAAAGTAAAATATACGTTGTTCATTCTATTATTTTTATGATGCACGTCAGTACCTGTATTGCATAGGATTATCATCATTGCTTCTATGGTTGCAGTACTCATACTTCAGTGTTAGGACAGTAACACAGGACATGTTGGGTCAATTCCTCCATTACTGTCAATGGAGTAACAGTAGGGATATGGCTTATTGTCTAAATATAGTTAATCCATTCCAGCATGGTTTTATACTGTACAAGATCTGTATAATTGACACCACTTAATTGATAGCATAAGTGATATAATATTTTGCGTCTTAGGGATTGTTTGCTAAGATAAGACCAGATGAATACATTTTCCTTATATTTTAAGTAGTACAGAACATATTACATACTCAAAGTATTCTGTCAGTGTTTCCCAACCTTTTCCAGTCTGAGGCACACTTACTTCAATAAATGATTTGTGTGGCACACATCCCCCCGTGTTAAAATTATTTAAAAAACCCCTTACTTTTAATGAGAAATTTGATGTAAGGTCTGTCTCATGCACATTCACTCAAAGAGCAACAGCATAAAATGCAATTTGGTTGTGACACTAATTAAAATAAATGAGGTTTTTTTCCTCGCAAGTGACTTTTCCAAAATTCCATGGCACATCAGTGTGCCACGGCACATGGCTCGGAAACACTGTTCTATGTGAAGAATGCACTTAGTGATAGGCTGGTGCTAAAAACATTATTAACAGTGTACAGAACTTTTATGAAGTATCAAATCCAAAAAATTATGGGCCCAATCCTGCTAAATTCTGAGTAACTCGACTTGCACTGCTTTCACAGGAGTTGAATGTGCCCGGTCCTTGACAGAATGAGATCCCATGTGATTAAAAATGCAGCAAACAGAATATGTATATTATGAGTTTATCTTATTAATCAGTCATGTCCATATCCAACACTGTTTTGTGAAAAATAAAGCTTTATTTGTTGACTGTGAAGATTAGAAATGGCATCTTCAGTCAGAAAATCCACTGTAAAATGAATATGTTTGCCATCCACTGGAATGATGTCTCCCATGTGACAAATGAAACAATACTAGATCTATTTAAAGCAAATATCACTCACCGGGACTTTTCCCAACTTCTTTTGTAGCCTGGTTTGCCACTGGACAGCTTGCATGACAATGGCTTCCCACCTTCTTTCAAGATTTACAATTATCAACTGCATAGACTGGTGATCTGCATTCAGATTGCAGGTCTCCTGGTCATCCAGGAGGTGCTGGCATAATCGCAACACAGAGGCTACTCCACGACGTCTCTGTTTGATCTCACAGCACAGAGACTGCAGGACAGAGAAAGGACAGATGTCAGTGCGGTGTAGTCTACAAATGTATAAAATTAACCGTTAAGTTTATACTTTGTAGTGTCCAGTCTTCTAACAATATGTCTGTGTTCCATTCATTGTTTCCTTGATACTTAATATCAAAGCTTGGTGATGCACTCACAGATAGTAATAATAATGGCAATGAGGCTGCAAAGCTACTTTAAGACTCCTTCAAATTAATGCCACATGTAGCTAACTGTCTCAATGATTCTGGACGATTTACAGCACGTACAGGGTTCCCCCCAACCCCTATTCCACTGGGGCATGTCTCTGAAAATTAGTTATCCCGCCAACATCTAGTCATTCAAGGTTTTAAAATGGATTTTAAGAATCTTTCAGGAAAAATAAATAAATGCTATATTCATAAAATGGCATAGTTTAATTCAATGTTTAATTCAATGCAGATCTAGAAAATCAAAATAAAGAAAAAATATATTACTTAGAAGAACCATTAGAAATGATGGGCCATATGTTATACTCCCGAGGAAAAATGTGCAGCAGGGAAGTGCAGTGGTCCTCTTTACAATCTTTACAAATGCTTCTTGTGATTATAACAGTCCTAAGGTATTTCTTATACTGAAATTAAAATAGGAATACTATAGTAATGATATCTGTGTTCAAAATTATAAATATTTAATAGCAACCACTGTATTTAATGAGAAAGATCCAGAGCAACAGAGGAATACCGTTTGCGCCTCATCATGCAATTCAAACCAGTGAACAAGCCTTGTTTTTACCAAATAGCGGTTGAGGCCAGGAAATGTTGCATATACTCCAGAAACCTGTACAATTGCATTAGCAACCCCATATGATAATAGTACAACTAGTGCATCTCCCGTGCCACAACTAAGGGACACATTTCTACAATTCTGAAGGACAATGGTTGGCTACTTTTCTGTGCAGTATAGGGTCATGTATGGGGTTTTCAAGTGCTATCACCTCCACACCCAACGTTGCATCAGGATTGTATTAACTTAGGAGGTCTTTTTACAGTAATTGCTATGAGGTTTGGGGGCACATAGCCTGGGCATCTATGAGGAAGAGTCCTCAGCCTCGCACTTGACCATGTACCTTTTCATGGCATGCTGTGGATCTAATATATGATTCCTAATTGGCACTTGTGCTACTCATGGCATTACACAATGTATGTAATAATGTATTTCATGCATGGAGTTTCCCCAGATAATTTAAATTGTAACTTGCCAACATCTGTTTTCCTCTGCAGGATGCCAGATGAAAGTGCATGACCCTAGGAGAAAATCTCAACTATCATTTGAGCATTTTTGTTTCTCTTAAGGGACAGGTATTTTGTTTTTAATTTTCTGTTTAAAAAGAAAAGTAAAATAAACTCATCACAACTTTCAGAGCAGTTCACAAGTGCCAGTGGCTGAAAAATATTGATAATTAAGCTGGACAGCCCCTTCTAAACTTGAATAACAAAACAATAATATTCTTTAAAAAATAAGTGAAGCTTCTGCATTATTAAATTGCTTTAAAAAAGGAAGCTATACCTAGAAGTGATGTATATCAAAACAGTATTTGCCCTCCAGAAGCACTTATGCTTGTGCAATAACTCTAAGCCAAAGGACTGGAGCAAAATAGTGGTGCACATATCTAGAAATATACATCTTTCTTTTGCCTTCTGATAGTGTGCAAGTGATTTTTTTTTTAATTCAAAGCCTTCAAAAGAAATGATAATTATATCCACAAACACAGCAGAATTACTAATCTACTGGCACAATGTGATTCTTCTAACAGTTAACAGATTGCTTATTAATCAACAAGGGTAAACAAGACAATGCAATCTCATTTAGAGCGTGAGTTTTAATGCCTAAAAGTATTTGTGTTCAAAATGTTAATCCCGATAAGGCTTCATTAGAAGACATCTTAAAATGATTAAGTGCATTTCATTGTAAAGTACACTGAGTAGTATATCAGCAGGTGGACATTTCATACAGATGTTCCACTTATTGATATAATGCATTCTATAGCTATTTAAATTACCCCAACTCTGTGATAGCTGGAATTCCATTATTTCTGTAATGAGAGAACTCTGTACCTTTAATATTTCTGAATTTTAAATAAGGTGAATGACAAATTCCCAAACCACTATTTATGGCAAAATATGACCAGGAATTTTATTATTCAATTTAGATCAGTGCTGCATTTTCACTTCAGTTTCCTGAACTTGCCCTTATTTATTTTCCTAGGATTCATTACTATATACCTACACAGCTCTTGATGTAATCAAATGTCTGAAATATTTCCTTTCTGATGCTGTTCATTAGCCTAATATTACACTAGAAAAAAAATCTAGGTACAAATAAAGTGGTACTTAACACTGCAACAGCAAAGAAATTGAACATTATGGTGGCTTTTATAAGCTAGATTCTGCTCTCAGTTGAATCTGGTGAAAATCTGAATAAACTCCACTGAAGCTGAGAATCTGGCCCCATATCCTTAACTCATCCTCTTATCTTGATATACCTAATAATGGTATCCCCTAAAATGTTGGACGCTATAATACTGTTACAATCCCATATAATATGACAAACTAAGGGCCATTCCATTCATAAACCAAAATATGTGGGCTATAATAAGACCTGTACATGGTATTATCTGCAAGCAGAGATACAGGACCAAATTCATCTCTCATTTACATCAGTTTTCCACCAGCAGAATAACATTAACTTCAAGGAAGCTATTCTTGATTTACATGGGTATGACAATACAATTCAACCATGGTAGTTTTGTTTCAACTTTATTAGATGTTATGATTAATATTAAAAGAGGATGAAACACTTATTCCTAACAAGGAAAAGAATGACTGTAATGACTCTTGTAGAGCTAGAAGACTTAATCAGGTAAAGACACACAAACAATATATATAATGGCAAGCTACAAAGAATCCAAAGGGGGTATTTATGGTCTGTTATGTATCATGCTAAACGATCATTATCTGTTTCATTGACATGATATCTCACAGTGTCCCATACCTATCATACTTTGCAACTATTGAACTGGAATGGTTATGTGAAATATTGTGAATACAATGATTGTGCACAGACAGTTCTCATTTCCAAATCTTCACCAGTTATTTCATTTTACATTTCTAAATAGTATAACTCTATATTTTGAGAAATTAGCTTCTACAAAAAACTCATAATCAACAAAGCCATTACTTATCAAAAGAAAAGCAAAGAGGACCAGGATTTTCAAACACAGGAGTCTAAAGTGCATGAACCTTAAACCCTAAATCCATTTTTAGGCACCTGCCTGACTTTCAAAAGCGCTGAACATTCCACCGCTCTGATTGCTCTCAGTGGGAACTGTTGGTGCTCAGCAGTTTAAAAAGTCAGGCAGATGCCTATATATAGAATTAGGAGGCTTGCTTTAGGCTCCTCTGTTTGAAAATCTAGACTGAATTGTCCCAGTAAGGTTAACAATGTTTTGCAATATGGAGAGAGATGTCTGGTGAATATATAGGCAATATTACAATGCAGTGTTTATTAAAACATATTTCCTATATATCACAGAAGAACCCTGGAGATCTTTCTTCTCTCAGCATAACCCTATGTTTAGTGCTTTGTGACTGTCAACCTGACAGCTGAAAAGGGCTGGATTGCTCTCCTTTCACAGCCTGCTAATACCACACCGTAAATCATCTGGAAGGACCACTGCTGAATGACATCAAAGACCGCTCCCAACCCAAGGGCCAAGAGTATTGTCTAGGCAGAACCTAGTGCCCAGGATGGTTCTGGGACAAGGGGTTGAACCATGTACTACTGCTTGGCTACTAAGGCCCTGATTCTGCAAGGTACTTAAGCATATGCTGAACTTTAAGCATGTGAGGAGTCCTCTTAAATTCAATGGAACTATGCACATATGTTAGGCACATGTTTAAGTTCCTTGCTGAACTGAGGCCTAAGCAATATTTTTCAACAACTGGATATTCTTCCTTTAAGTCCAAAAACAAAACAAAAAATGGAGTGTGAAATTTATTAAGGAAACTATTAAATACAAAGTTTATTTTGCTATTGACCAGTCCATCAGTCTAGTCCAATTTATCTCTAAAGCAGAGAGATTGCTAGACAATGGCACCAAATTGGTAAGCTGAAATTGTTCACAAATGATAAAATTCTCATATCACAGAATCATAGAAGTGTAGGGCTGGAAGGGACTTCAAGAAGTCATCATGTCCAGTCCTGTGTACTGTGGGAGGACTAAGTAAACCTAGACCATCCTTGACAGGTGTTTGTCCAAACTGTTGTTAAAAACCTCCAATGATGGGGATTCCACAACCTCCCTTGGAAGCATATTCCAGAACTTAACTACCCTTATAGTTAAAGTTTTTCTTACTATCTAACCTAAATCTCCCTTGTTGCAGATTAAGCCTATTAATTTCATCTTCAATGAACATGGAGAACAACTGAGTATCATCCTCTTTATAACAGCCTTTAACATATTTGAAGACTTATCAGGTCTCCCCTCAGTCTTCTTTTCTCAAGATTAAACATGCCCAGTATTTTTAACTTTTTCTCACTAGGTTTTCTAAACCTTTGAAAACAGTTTTGTTCCTGTTCTCTGGACTCTTTCCAATTATTCCACATTTTTCCTAAAGTGAGGTGCCTAGAATTGGACACAAAACTCCAGCTGAGGCCTCATCAGAGCTGAATAGATTAGGACAATTACCTCCTATGTTTTAAATACAACACTCTTGTTAATTCACCCCAGAATATTAGCCTTTTTTGCAGTTGCATCACATTGTTGACTCATATTCAATTTGTGATCCACTATAACCCCTAGATCCTTTTCAGCAGTACTACCTCCTAGCTAGTTATTTCCCATTTTGTAGTTGTTCATTTGATTTTTCCTTTCTAAGTGAAGTACTTTGCACTTGTCTTTGTTGAATTTCATATTGTTGAGTTCAGACCAATTCTCCAATCTGTCAGAAGTCA